TGAATCAAACCCATGCCATTTAAAATTTTTGACGTCTTAATTAATGAAAATATGTGTTAATTAATTGAGTGACACGTGATTTCAATTTCAATTTCAAATGTTAAGGTTAAGGAGATCGGTTACAATTCACATTAAAAAAAAACATATATTAGATAATAGAATTGACTAAATGTGATACGTCAACTATCACACTATGCTTGGGCTTGGACATTTATATGAACAATAATGAGGAATCTTGGTGGGTTTATTGCTATTTTTGTGGTGTAATTCTGTTTGGCAATCGGCTATGGTTGTGATTTTTTATTTATTTTAAAAAATTTATTCTTTTTCTTCATTGGGAGCTAAAAACTTTAAAAAAAAAAAAAAAAAAAAAAAACACTAGACCAAGGGTAAAGTGGACAATACACAAAAGAAAATTGTAAAAAATGCAAATTGGGCCTAGTTCAAACGGGCTCTCCAGTAACTTTTCAGGACAGTGATCCAGATGGACACGAAATGGGCTTATGAAATGGCCCATATATCAGTAATCGTCAATTTCATTATTTTCATTTAAAATTTCAACGAAATTAATTTGGATAATATGTTATTTTAGTTTATTCGGCTCGTCTGCCCTTCAGAGCGAGAAGAATGCAGCGGCGGTGGATATAAGGAGGAATCAATTACAGTGATGCTGAGACTGAGAGTGAAGCCCGTTTGGTGCACTCTTCCGATCTCCCACTTCACTTCTCTTACCCTTCGCCCCTCAATTCTCAGACCTGTTCTCCGCCGCCACAGGCCTCGACTCTTCATCACCCGATTCTCCGCCTCCTCTGCTGTGCATAAAGCCTCGGAATCTTCTTCAGCTAAAGGCCTCTCGGATGGCGACTTGGAGCCTTTCCTCTCATGTTCGATGCCTCGCTATCCGCTCAAAGTTGCTGTTCTTCTTAGCGGTGGCGTCGATAGCAGCGTCGCCCTCCGCCTCCTCCACGCTGCTGGCCACTCCTGCACTGCCTTCTATCTCAAGATATGGTTTCAGGTGCCAACTCTTTGTTCCTTTAATGGAACAGATCATATGCTTCATGTGTTTTCTTGTAAAGTAAGGAAGCTGATATTGGGAATGCTGGCGCAGTCGGTGTTTAGGATTATAATTAATGACGAGCGTGGACGTGTTTCTGCTTTGCTATGTATATGATATGTATGTTCTCGGGAAGAGGACAATAACCTTTTCATGTGACCGCAGTTTTGATGGATTTTGTTTGCGTAGGAAGACTTCGAGAATTTTTGGTCAGAATGCCCATGGGACGATGATTTGAAGTATGCTAAAGCTGTTTGTGATCGGGTTTGTCACTATTTTAGCTTTATGAATCCATCTAGACTTGCAAAGTTTTGTGATTGTTTGGATTGACTTTCTAAGTCCTTAAAAGCACGTCTTTTTGCATTTAGAAGCACTTTTTGTAAGTGCTAGAAAGTTAATCAAAACAGACTTTTAATTTGGCAAAAAAAAAAAAAAAAAATCCAAATTGAACGTAGTTCAAGATACCCATAAGTTATTTCACCACATGACGCTAAGCGTAGTTATAGGTTCTGCGTGTGGGGAGAATCTGTCTTATTTTCTGCCGTAGTTTGTGCTGAAGAGAGAATTAGAATTGAAAATGTACACTGGTTTTCAGGTTGATGTACCATTGGAAGTGGTTCATTTGACAGAGGAATATTGGAGGAACGTGGTAAGTGCATTTACAACTACAAAATTTTATTCTGTAACTTTGCCGGATAACTTAATGATGTAGTTCATCAAACCAATTTGGTATTAGTTGTGCTGGCTGACCATCTTCCTCATTCCTTCTTTTCTAATAGGACAAAACAGTTTTGGGTTAGTTTTTCTGTCTGATGAATATTGCTTAGTTCATGTTTTTAGGTTTCTTATATAATTGAAGAATATCGATGTGGCCGTACTCCGAACCCTGATGTCCTCTGTAACACAAGAATAAAGTTTGGTATGTTCATTAAATGCCTTTGAAGGACTTTATAAAAATTTTGGCTATATTGCAAACTTTTGGTAATGTCTACGATATTTTTTGTATTAATTAATTTATGGCATTCCCTGCCTTTTCCAGGTGCATTCATGGATGCAATAAGCAATATGGAGTTTGATTATGTTGCTTCAGGGCATTATGCGAATGTTATTCATCCATCTGCTGATCAAATGGATAAACCTTCTGTTTTAGAACTATCCAAGGACATGGTATCTACAAATGGTTGCATTGGCCTTTATTTCAATCTACCCTATCCAATAGGGTGTATCAGTCATAACTTGCTTAACTTCAATATTTCGAAGTTGATTGTTTCGTGTTGACTTTTGTCTATATTCTGTGCATGACAGTTAGTGATACCATTAGTAATTCAACTTGAAGTCTCATATATTACTCTGTGGCATAAATATGACCTATATTGATGAATTATATGGGCTAATATTTGTTGTAATCCTTCTAGAAATATCATCAACAAGTAATATGATTGCTTACCTAGTTCAAGGTTCATTGTTGAACACATTTGTCTCTTCCTTGTTCCTTCTTGCTCCAAACTAAAGAGTTCTTGTTTCTCTTCACTATTTTTGTTTTCTTAGGTCAAAGATCAAACATATTTTCTGTCGCATCTCTCACAGAACCAGCTTAAAAGGCTTTTATTCCCTCTTGGTTGTATTCCGAAGGTTTGTTCAAGCTTACTTTACAGCATTTATTATCATGGGTTTTTAAGATATCTCTTGCGTTTCAGACTTCAAGAGTGTAATCTGAGAGCTTCAGCTATTGTTGGTCTGATTTTGTACTGGCCTTTTAGGCTTCTACAGACATAAACACCTAGGGGCTAACATTGGTTGAGGAATTTATGTATGTAATATAAGTTAAAAAATTGTATTACATACCAATTGGTGTAGATATCATTTTAAAGCTATTAAGTTTTAAACTATTCTTGGGTGCAAGAACTTGTATAAATGCTTCAATTTGTAAGTTCATATCATGAATTGGCTCTTGCTTCATCTAGTGCGTACTTGTGTGCTTGTGATCTTGTTAATATGTTTTCCTTGAATTGTAACTTCAGCAATATTTTTCCCTCTCAGCCTTATATTCCCTCAGCAATTATCTGCAGGATGAGGTTCGCAAACTTGCTGCAAAATTCAACTTACCCAACAAAGACAGAAAGGATTCACAAGGAATATGTTTCCTTGGGAAGGTAGTTTCGGATGTGATGATTTATGCATCTATTTTACTGGGAGGACTGAATGCTTTCTCAAAATTCATTAGTCAATGCCAATATTTCTAATATTTTAGTGTTGCCATTTTATATTTTAAAAATATCCTTCTACGTTTTATCACTATTTAAAATGACAGAAGCTAGCTCAAAGTATAAAATTTGCTAACTGTTGAAGAATTTTTCTGATGGCTAAACTTTCCCCTTGCTGGGTTTTTATTTCCTTATTCTTCATGGCAGTGAAAAAAATCTTGATAGTCCGGTTTCAGAAGATAAGTCTGTGTAAGGTATCTTGCGGTAGAATTAATGCAGAATCTGTTTCTTTGATGTGTAGATAAAATTTAGTGAATTTGTGGCGAGACATATTGGGGAGGACGAAGGTGTGATATTGGAGGCAGAGTCGGGAGATTTTCTTGGCAAACATCGAGGGTTTTGGTTTTACACAATTGGCCAACGCCAAGGCCTAAAACTTCCTGGAGGACCTTGGTATGCCTTTTTAGTTTATTTTCAAGAATAAGTTCAATGTTCCCAGCTGTTTAGCGGTTTACGACCACTTCCAAATCTTCAAGCACATCTTAAATTCTACTTGGTAGAGTAGATTTGGACGTTTCAGGGTGCCAGTTTAGTTTTAAATAACTAATCACGTTAGATTATCTCCAATTTGTTGCTTCTCAAGTTAATATTCTTTTGTTATGTCTCTTCAGCTTTTATGCATTGGTCTAATGCAGGTATGTTGTGGAGAAAGATATTAGGAACAATGTAGTATTTGTTTCGAGAAATTATTTCTCACTTGACAAAAGAAGACGGTCGTTTCGAGTTGGATCATTGAAATGGCTGAGTGGGTTGGTTCCAGACCAATTTACTGGGCTTCAATGTAAGGTAAAGTTTCAGCTTCCATCTCTCATATTTCTCGCTAGTTTCACTGCTTCAAGTTGGCCTGCCTGTAACTGTTCAACCGGAGTCAGTTTATTCCTGCAAATTTGTGTTTGAACTGATGTCATTTCTAGTTCCCCCCATGTATGTTAATTTTATACAATTTTTAGGTCCGACATGGCCCGAGTTTCTATAGTTGCATTCTGACAATGGAACGCGATGAAGATAGTGATGAAGATGTTGCTGTTGTCCTTCTAAGCGAAGATGACCAAGGCCTTGCAGCAGGCCAGTTTGCAGCCTTTTATCAGGGAAGGAGATGCATTGGATCTGGTGTGATTTTAGAATCTTGGGATGATCAGGGGTTTCCTGTATGTGCAAAGGCTCTTGAAATTGCACAAATGGAAGATAAGTCGAAGCTTGGAAAACCAATAAAGATAAAAGTTAAACCAGAGAATGCTACGAAAGAATGTGAAACTAAAGATGATACAAAAATACACGGCGTGTTAAAGAATCAACAAACCACTGTGGTTGAGCAAACCGGAGAAGTGGCTTCGGATGAAGCACTCACCACAGCCCCAATGAAATGGCTTGGAAGCCTTCGGAAGAAGCTTCTGCAGGTATTTTAATTTTGCCTCAGTTTAGAAATCGAATCCTCGACTACAGCCCTGCAATGAGAGTGAAATCCATATTTTATTCCTTTGAATCTGTTGACTGAATTATGACATATTTGTATGTTTGTGATGGAGCAAATATAGGAGGCTCTCCTCTCTTATTCCGACGCCTTTTCTTTGCATTTGAATCGACCGAGTTGTTTGCTGTTTCTTTTAACTGAGGGATCAAATCGATTTAATCATGTCTTTGGAAGTATACAATCTCATCATTATAAATTAGATTTCAAAATGCATAAATTTAGACGAAATTGTGATTAACCGCAATGTCAAACTAGAAACAATAAATTTGCATTGCAGAGTATAATGTAAAATCAAATACAACAATTGATAGAATTCAAATCTTTAGCATCTGGATCTTGGATGCCAAAAAATAATACGACTACTCTTTCCGGATGATTTACTAGCAAGAGCTCGAGTGACAATCACATCTTTGAAGAAATCGATCGGCTTTCAGCTTCACCGTATGCATAAGAAGTTGGCTAATGTTATTCATGCAATTTAATATAATAGAAATGTCATCCCTTGGCACTTTTGGTAATAGAAATGTCATCCCTTGGCACTTTTGGAAGTGGGTACGAGTTGCACTATAGTGTTGATAATGTTTGAATTTAATACGGTGAAGGAGGTGACTTGTAGTAATAAGGAGGTGGTGGTGACGAAGACGGGGGTGGAGGTGACTTATAATAATAAGACGGGGGAGGTGACGGAGATGGTGGAGGTGGAAATTTGTAAATATATGGAGGAGGTGGTGATGAAGATGGCGGTGGTGGAGATTTATAATAATATGGTGGAGGGGAAGATTTCAATGGAGGTGGAGGGGACTTGTAATAGTAAGGAGGTGGTGGTGATGGAGACGGTGGAGGAGGAGATTTGTAAACATATGGTGGGAGAGGTGATGATGAAGATGGTGGTGGTGGAGATTTATAATAATATGGAGGAGGAGGAGATTTCAATGGAGGTGGAGGGGACTTGTAATAGTAAGGAGGTGGTGGTGATAGGGACGGTGGAGGAGGAGATTTGTTAACATATGGGGGAGGTGGTGATGGAGATGGTGGTGGTGGAGATTTATAATAATATGGAGGAGGAGGAGATTTCAATGGAGGTGGAGGGGACTTGTAATAGTAAGGAGGTGGTGGTGATGGGGATGGTGGAGGAGGAGATTTGTAAACATATGGAGGAGGTGGTGATGGAGATGGCGGTGGTGGAGATTTATANTAATACGGTGGAGGGGGAGATTTCAATGGAGGTGGTGGAGACTTGTAATAGTAAGGTGGTGGTGGTGATGGAGATGGTGGTGGAGGAGATTTATAGTAATAAGGGGGTGGTGGGGATTTCAATGGAGGTGGAGGGGACTTGTAATAGTAAGGTGGTGGGGGTGATGGAGAGGGGGGTGGAGGTGACTTATAATAATAAGGTGGAGGAGGTGATGGAGATGGTGGAGGTGGAGATTTATAAATATATGGAGGAGGTGGTGATAGAGATGGTGGAGGTGGTGACTTATAGATATAAGGAGGGGGAGGAGATGGAGATGGAGGGGGTGGTGACTTATAATAGTATGGTGGAGGTGGGGATGGTGATGGAGGTGGTGGTGATTTATAAACATAGGGAGGTGGAGGAGATGGAGAGGGTGGAGGAGGTGATTTGTAAATGTAGGGAGGTGGAGGCGATGGAGATGGTGGTGGGGGAGACTTGTAAACATAGAGAGGTGGTGGAGGGGACTTATAGACATAAGGTGGGGGCGGTGATGGAGATGGTGGAGGAGGAGACTTGTAAACGTAGGGAGGTGGCGGCGATGGAGATGGCGGTGGAGGAGAGCTATAGGTGTAAGGAGGCGGTGGNGATGGAGATGGTGGTGGAGGAGAGCTATAGACGTAAGGTGGGGGTGGTGATGGAGATGGTGGAGGAGGTGACTTGTAAACGTAGGGAGGTGGCGGCGATGGAGATGGCGGTGGAGGAGAGCTATAGGTGTAAGGAGGCGGTGGTGATGGAGATGGTGGTGGAGGAGAGCTATAGACGTAAGGTGGGGGCGATGATGGAGATGGTGGAGGAGGAGATTTGTAGACGTAGGGAGGTGGTGGCGATGGAGATGGTGGTGGAGGAGAACTATATACATAAGGGGGTGGTGGTGATGGAGATGGTGGTGGAGGAGAGCTATAGACGTAAGGAGGCGGGGGTGATGCAGATGGTGGAGGAGGAGACTTGTAGACATAGGGAGGTGGTGGCGATGGAGATGGTGGTGGAGGAGAGCTATAAACGTAAGGAGGCGGTAGTGATGGAGATGGTGGTGGAGGAGAGTTATAGACGTAGGGAGGTGGTGGAGGAGAGATATAGACGTAAGGAGGCGGTGGTGATGGTGGAGGAGGAGATGTGTAGACATAGGGGGGTGGTGGAGGAGACTTATAAATATACGGAGGTGGTGGTGGAGACTTGTAGATGTAGGGTGGCAGCGGTGGAGACTTANAGATGTAAGGTGGCGGTGGCGGAGACTTGTAAACATAGGATGGTGGTGGCGACTTGTGGTGCTTATATTTGGGAGGCAATGGCTTGGGGTGACCGCGATATTTTTGGGGCGGCGGCTTGTGGTAGTGGCGATATTTTGGGGAAGGTGGGGGTGTAGGGTGATAATGGTTAGGTGGAAAATGTTTGGGATGTTGATGCTTATGTAACTCAATTTGACCGAGTTGAGGCTTTTTGATAGGTAGCAACTCTTCATCGTCTTGAGCAACAACGACGGTAGTGGCAATGAGGCAAATCACCACCGCCGGGAACAGCAGGTGAGGCCAATGCCTGAGAGGTTTCATTGTCCCCATCGTCAGGCAATGGGCACTTAGATTGATGTTGTGAGTTGCATTTCAAGCCTTTATATTCTACTCATCAATGCCCTGATTATGATTATGATAATCAAACTACAATTTCTAATTCAATCTTGGTTTATCGCAGATCTGACTTTTTGAAAATTTTGATTGAATATTGAGCTTTGGAAGATCGTGGCTACCGACTACAAAGTTGTTGGCTGGACAAATGCATTTTGAGCCTAAGTTCATTTAAGACACTAAAGTAATGCACGTTCCCACGGTATCTTATATTCCTTCCACTTGTATAAAACCTTATTATTTTGAGTTGCATAATGAGAGTATTAAAATTACGCCAATACGGTTTAAAATGTTTGTTCTTCCATCTCTATTCTCTAGTAATATATGGTTTTGAAGTGTCACCAAAAACCTCAGTGTAGCAAATGGGGCATGCCTGGAACAGAAATATTAAGTACTGTATAGACAAAAGTTACTGATAGTCTGTTACTAGAATTACCCCCAAAAGTGCAAGGATAAAATATATCAGAACATCACCTTGTTCATACTAAGCCACTTGGTCCTGCAACTGGTATGATACTTATGTTTGCATGGTAGAGTAATCCTTTGGTCTCCACATTTGTATTCCATTTCGCATATCACACACCTATATACAAATCAAGACTGATACCATCAGATGTAACAACACATGAGTTACAGAGCATGGAACTAGAAAACAAGGCAAAAGCCCACCGCTAACACAAATTATCTATTTTGGCCTATTACATATAGCGTCAGCTTTACTGTTTTTAAAACGCATTTATTAGGGAGAGGTTTCTACACCCTCATAAGAAATATTTTGTTTGATTCCCCGCATTATTACGGCCTATACTCAACTCTATCTCAGTATATAGAAAAATGTCTTACTGCAAGTTCAACAGATAGAGCCTGGAAGCTCATACATTGCTCCTGAAGTTGGAGCATCTGTTTTTTGACCCAATCTCTGCGCTCCTCCCATTGGAACTTTGTTGGACCCAAAAGAGAGACATCAACTTGACCTTCAAATTCATTTTGTGCAACAGAGTCACTGTCACTGTGATTAGCCCTTCTGGCTCACTATTACCTTGGAAACCAACGTTCTGGCAACCTGGAATTGTTTGTCCATTATAGTAAGCACGCATTTCCTTATAAAGCAAGTGTTTTGAACTTAATAACTTTCCAACATCATCCTTGGCTTTACTCGTCCCATCACCAACACAAGCAACCACTGCTATGAGAAGCCTCCCTCACAATCTCATCTGTCCATTTCATTCTCTGCCATTCAAAAGCACGGAGCACTCACTATTAAAGTCGGCTCATCTTCTTCACTCGTGTAGTTGTTTGTGATGCAACCAGAGGCAATAACTTTCCCTTTATTGAACGCCATCGATAAACCCTGATGTCCGAAAAACTTTTCGGGTCTACAATCGTAATTAGAGCCTCCTTGAGGCCTATGAATCCTTGAACAATTTTTCATTAATCGAAGCAAACAACGTACATTTTTATTCCACACTTGAAGATTCTATTGACATATGTAAGTTAAAAAACATTGATTCTAATACCATATTAGTAATCATGAACTTATATTAGTAATCATGAACTTCCACAGTAATATTGTACGGTTTAAGTATAAACTCTAGTGGTTTTGGTTTTGGTTTAGCAAAGAGGCATCCTATCAACAACCCTCAACATTGTACTCCATTGTGTGAAATTCGAATCTCTTTTTTCGTTCATTGGATCAGTCCACCAAGATGTCACCCAACGATGACATTGTGTTTTACTTCCCGTGCTACGCTTAAGAGTTCCACGCTTTCCTCCGTCTACCTCGCATTCGAGTTTCATTCAATATTCCTGTTCATTGATTCAGTTATGAGATGTTCGAAATTGACTAATTTCAACCATACAATTCCCCCCTTCTGGCCACCGGAAGGGAATTCGGTTACAACTGAGACTTGGGGGGCAATGTTTGTTGATAAATCTCCCCTAATTTGTTCGGCGCCATTGTCGCTAATTCAATCCGACGTGTCGAATAAGTCTGAGTCTGATATACGTACGAACCATCGTTTTTTGACTGGTGGGTACATTCAGTGGCGAGCCAATTTCAGGAAACACAAGGCCTGAGACAATACTCCGGCAACTTACTACCAAGAAAGGACAGGTATTTGGTGCGTGCTTGATCTGTCTAACTTTTCGTTATAAAACATGACAATTTCTTCACCTTTTAAATTGGTGAAAGATTGAGAGTGCTCTTAGTTTAGCATTTTGGTTAGCTTGGTGGGTCTTATCTGCCCCCTCTGTTCTTCTTTTCCTATTTATTCAGACTCTTGGTGTGGCTGTGCGTACTTTTCTTTTTAGCATTCAGATGTTTATACTTTATATTAGGATAATGATACGTTAATGGATGGTGCATTTTACTGATCTCCATGCTAGGTGCTGGTTCCTCAATCCTATGTAGTCTTCTATTTAAAGATATTTAACCCGGATATGCTCTGTTTCAAGTTTGTACTTATTCATTGTAGCTCTACAGTATGCTCCAAGGCAAAAGTGATGCAGAGACTGTCTTAAACATGGATTAAAGGAGATGTCAAGAGGACATCGCGAACAATAATGGTTCAGGTAATCTTGGATTTGGTGTGTATTTCTAGTTATGATATTTTTCAGTGGAGAACTGATCAAGATCCTTTGTTTCTCTTCTTCAGAGCTCAAGGACTCCAGGAACACTTGTCCATGGTGGTAGCAACCTGACTATTGGTCGGGTTAAAGCTGGCTTGGAGTTCAACCGCCCTATCAGACCAGACCAGTGTGGAGTGGAACTGGAGGACTTTATTTCCAGGTACTTTAGTAGAACTGGATACATGCTTCTTGAAATCCTTGTCGACTTTGATATGCTTGGTCCTATAATGTTGAACTGGATTAGGCTATAGATCAGATGGTAGCCTTATTGTTGCAGTCCACACGTATTTTCTTATAATCTCATGGAAAACCAACTATTTCCTATGAACCATTATGCCTTAGAGCATTAATCTCTTCCGTAATATGTAGTTTCCTATTTGGATAATCTAAGCCTTCTTGTCAATTCCTTGGGACAAATAAGTTATCTATCCTAGAAGTGAAAATTTTATGACGGTTTGACAACTTTTCGTACGAGATATAATTTGCAATGAGATATTTAGTGCAAATTCTAGTAGCTTTCCTCAAGGCAATAGGCAAGACATTTTCAGTGGCAATGCTCGAGTTGTATATAGATTGAAGAATAAGTTATGAGCTTGATTTGAGGAAGAAAAATATAGAGTGTTCCACAGGCAGCACTATACAATTCTGTGTGCAAAGGCTGGTCTCTGCAGCTTCGAAATAAGGTACATTTTGATTGAATGAAGCTGAGTGTCTGTATCATCTTAAGGTACAATCAATCATTCCTCTGGCTGCAGTTTTTTGTCTCAGCCAAAGGCCCTTCTTCCAAATTTTACACATTAATTAAACCATGAAATATCAAGTCTCCTAAGCTCTTCTCTCTCTGCCTTTTGAAGTAGCAGGGGTTGGGTTGAGGTTTAGTGATGGAAGAAAGTACGGATAAGAAAGGTAGTGAGTTTCAGTTCCTTGGTGAAAATAGAATATATTGGCAATGAGAAACTGAATGAGGTTGTAATGTTGGAAAAGGACCTTATCTCATTGTTATGATTATCTAGGCCCCAAATAAAACAAGGAGCGTCTTCAAAGAACAAAATTCTATGTTTATTGATATGCAATTTCCGTAGGAGTGGTTATCATTATAGTGTTCCTTTTTCTTTTCTTTCTTTAAATATTTGCACCGATAGTATATGTATACCTCTAAGAACTCATCAATAATTGACTGAATTCGGTATAGTAAAAGTTGCTTTACATGATTGTGAATTTGAATATCAATCTAAAAAGTATGGTACTCCAACACATTTGCATTTTAGATTTATATTTTATATTTGTGACTACTTTCAAAACTTTTGACGTTCGTAGTATAAAGACAATGAGGGTCTTAAATGAAGTTTGTATAAAAAAAAGGTTTAACAATTTGAAGTTTGATGAGAAATGGAATGGGTTTATGAAAGGCGGCATGGAAATAATAAGGTTGTAAGAGGGGATTGAGAAGGCAGAATGTTGTCGAATTGTGTCCGTGAAACAGTGAAAAGGGGCGTAGGGAAATGGAGGGAGGGATTAGCCGACCAGGAAACCAAGACGAGGCCACCGAAGCAAATGTTGGCCTCCACATTTCCATTAATTCACATACAAAAACACTTACCTAATTCCTAAACATATTTCATTCCCAAAGACTCTCAATTTCTAAACTTCATTTCCTTCGCCCTCTCTCTGCTTTGGCAGTGGGATTATGGTCTCCCCACTCCACTCTCCAACGCTTATCCTTTCACACTCACCTCCTCTGCACGTGAACCTCAGTCAACACTTCAAATCTAATGCCTCCATTCCAATGAATGTGTTGGGACTTGGGAGTTCAACCCATTACTTTCACAAACATTATTCTATCATATCAAATTAGTGAGTTTGATTTGTTTCTTATCAAGTTCTTTCCCGTTAGATCGGTTAGTGTTTGAATTTGGTTATATTGGAGATCACTAAGTTAGCAGCATTCATTCATGGATTGCGAGTTTTTTTTATTTGAAATTATAACAAGTTTGGATGATGTTTTAAAACACTTCAAAAAGTGTTGTTTTGCTTTGAAATTTAAGCCTTTTTATTATGCCCTTTTCACACTGCTCACACTGTTCAATGAGTCGCTTGTTCTTTCAAATCCCAAGACTTGTGATATCTATGTGTGTCTCTCTCTCACCCTTTGTTTGGTATTTTTATTTTTCTGATTGTTTAGTCATTCTAGCAAGTGATCTTGGCCTCGTCCTTTCTTCCACTCACTTGGGAGTTCCTCTTATTTATTTTATCTCTTTTAATATTGGTGTGATTTGTCCAATCTCTTCTATCTTATTAACTTTCAGTCCCTTCTTTCTCC